CCAAAATATCCCTATCTTATTTGGGGAAAATAATGAATTTTTTTATTTATTTTGGGAGTCAACTAACGGTTTTGATAGTCAAACTGTCGGAAATCAACATTTTGGACTTGAGCTGCGAATTTTTTGAAGGTTCATTGGATGTATGTACGTTGGTGCAAGAAGGGCCGCTTGATCACCTTTGATACTTATGGTGGCACAAATGAAAAGTTTCGGTAAAGGTTTGTTATCGTGACTGCAATTTTCTCTATAAATTAATTATTATACTACGGATTGTTGTACAAGAAATTTAAGTATTCCAGTACCTTGTGGTACATTTCGAGTTAGTGGCCTGCAGTTGTGAATTTTTATTCTATATATTTATACAGTATAAGACTGGACCGAACAGTAATAAATAAAATAAATTATTGTAGAATTTAAAAAAATAAATTTTTGTTGACACATTATGTAGTAAAAAAGCAATTTCCCTAAAAATCATCTAAATAAGTACAATAATGAAATGAAATTTGAAAAAAAAAATTCAAATTGTTAAATATATTATATAAAATTAAAAAAAATGGGGTGTCATAAATTTGCTTGCTGGATTGATGTAAGTAGACTTCAAGTCTCAACCTCTCAGCATTGAAGTGAATACATAAAGATTAGCCTCAAAATATGGATGAAGAATCTGAGAAAATTAAATTGAAAAACAGAAGAAAAAATGCATTCAAATCTCATTAAAAATTAGCAACCAAACCTCTGAAAGAAATGAATTGAACAACATTGAATTACAGTACTAATATTTTTTTTTAATGAGAATTCATTAAATTTTGTTGCATTTTCCTATGAAAGCTTTTAATGCCCCATCAAAAATCATGAACACCTTAAATCCACTGTATCTCTTTTGTTCTTGTGTAAAAATATGGGACTCGACTAAGTCACGATGAACACGAAAAGATTGTTGATTATGAAATTATTCGAGATCTTGTATTTTAATCATAAAAATACTTGCACAGGCCTTTTTCGTGTTTTGATTTCTACAAAAAAACACGGAAAAAAAGTTAAAGATGGCGCTCAATTAAAAAAGAAAAGAAGGAATTGCGCAATCGAATCTAAAAAATGTAACATGATTTTATATGAAGGTTTCATGCATTGGAGAGAAGGGTAAATTTCATCTGCGGTCACTGCAATTTCAGCAAAATCTCAATTGGGTCACTATTGGTTTTAACTTTCACAAATGTCATTGCTTAGCTGACATTCATGCCGTAATTGATGTTTCACATAATAATAATAATAATAATAATAATAATAATAATAAAATGAGAATTATGACTATGTTTTTTTTTTGGTCAAAACGGTTCAAATAATATTTTTTTTAGGATAATTAGTACATAATGTCCTTACATTTCTCTGTTATTGTGAAAAATATCCATACTTTTCATTTGTCGACATTTTCACATTTTTTTCCACATTTGATTATGTAAAAAATCATTTTTATCAATTTTCTCAATTAAAAATTGTGAACGAATATCTCATTCTAATTAAATAAAACAAAAAGAAAGAACTAATTGCAATTATAGTCTCAATTTTTTAAAAAGCCCAAATGAGTCCCAAATTAATTAGTAAAAAAGTAATTAGCACATAATGTCTTTATATTTTACTATTATTGTGAAAAATGTCAATACCTTTCATTTTTAGGCATTTTCACCATTAAGTACACATTTAATTGAGCAAATCACCATTTCCATCCAATTTCTCAATAAAAACTGTGAAATGATATATATATATAAAATAAAGAAATTTAATTTTTTAAAACTTTAATATTTAATTAATTTATTTGAGATTTATTTGTACTTTTTTTCAGAAAAATTAATTTTTAGTAATTTATTTAGAGCTCGTTTGTACTTTTTTTTAAAAAAAAAGAATTGGGACTATAATTGCAATTAATTTTTTATTTTTATTTTTCTTAATTTAAATAGAAGCGTATATTCATCATTTCACAGTTTTTATTGAAAAATTGAATGAAAATGAATAGAAATAATAGTTTGCACAAGTAAATGTAAAATTAAAGGTGAAAATGTCAAAAAAATAAAAAGCATCGACATTTTTCACAATAATAGTGAAATGTAAAAACATTATGTGCTAATTGTCCTTTTACTAATTTATTTGAGACTCGTTTATATTTTTTTTAGAAAAAATTAAGACTTTAGTTGCATTAGTTCTTTATTTTTCTTTTTGTTTTATTTAAATTTGTTGGCATATTCACCATTTCACAGTTTTTAATTGAGTAAATGAATTCAAATGACATTTTCCTCAATGAAGGGTAAAAATGCTAAAAAAATGAAGAGTAAAGATATTTTTCACAATAATAATAGTGAAAGGTATGAATATTATGTGCTAATTATCTTCTTCTTTTTTAATATAAATTTGTACTCATATATAATTTTACATGGCATAGTACGACATGGAAGATCCGTTGCAGTATGTATGATAATTTAACAATTTTCATCAATTTATAAGATGGCAGAAGACAGGGTCCTTTATGTTGGGCCTGATTTGGATGGCTAGGGTTGACCCAATTTCGCCACTTCCATGGGCCCAACATAACTGAAAAGGTATAACTTAGGCCCAATACTCTTCGTGATGTAAGAAGAATCAAAAAATCCATGTACTGTTGAGACAAACAGTTTAAAAATTAGTCTACTACACTATCATTTAGCATTTACCACTTGAACTATTTTCAACTTGCCGCTCTCTTTATATTCGTCAATGAATTGGATTGTAGAGATATACTTGAATCCCAGAAAATTTGAAGGTCTCGAAATTCAGCATTTAACTGTCTCATGTCAATATGACAGCAATTCATATCCTTTTCCGGATTTCCAGTGTGAAGTAGAACTCTTAGGTCCATGATTTCTAACCTTAATCCACGAATCTGTTCCAGATTTTCAGTGAACATTGAAATATTGAAGGAAGAACTAGGAAACAAAAACCAAGAGCATGATCAAAGAGAAAGATGGTTCGCCGAATGCTGATATTTGCAGTTTGGAAGGAAACAATTTCTCAAAATAAGTCGCTATATATTTCCAAATCTCGAGCTTCCCTAAAACAAATAGGCGTACATTGTACATAATACACAAAAACTGGTGCTGAAAAAAATATATATTAAAAAACGACTCCAGAGTCGAGTATAGAGGCGGACAGGCAAAACTTCAACCACCATGTTTGATTTAGAAAAAAAAGCCATCAACACCAATAAAACATCCAAAGATAGATGGCCAGCTAATTAAATAACTGGATACTTCCAACATATACACAGGTAAAAACAAGTTGGTTCCTATGACACCAAACTAAAATATTGTCTAAAGTTGTACCCAACCTTTCAACCTCGTAGCACGTTCGTCTTTTTCATCCACCTAACCGAAACATTTCATCTCTCATGGGATAGAATAGGTAAGAAAATAATGTTAATGGAAATTATGAAAAGAAAAGGGTAAAAGAAAAATTAAAACATCCTGCATGACACCCAAAGCCCCTCCCCCTACACCACCACCTCCTCACTACCACCATCCGATCCCCATCTGCACCAGGTTTTTGTTCACTCTGAAGCCATGGCTAGTGAAAATGAAATTCTTATTGCCAAATAGATTTTTTTTAGCTTCCCAATAGAAATGAGTTTTCAGACTTCAAATTGATGCAATAGATCTGCAGTATTTTAACTGTTTGGTGGCACATTTCTTGATTTTGAGTCATGAGGAGAGAGAACGGTACTGGGAGAGGGTGCCCAGTTCAAGGGAAATAGGGTTGCACTGTTCAAGTGGGTGGGGCGGAATGGAGTGGGGAGGGTCTAACAGGGGTGCTTTACTCTATTTCTTATCCTTTCCTGTATTTTCATTAAAATTAAGCGGTCACCTGTTTTTTCCGTAAAAAGGGTGGATATGCAAACCAAGTGCCTTTTTTAACAGTCAAGTGGACGGAACTTGACACTACAAATTAATAGCAACTTGCTACAAACTTGAACGATTGGAGACAACTCTCGTAAAAAAATTTAGCTTGCAGACCAATCTTTACAACACATAAATTGGGAACCTCCAGTGCAGTTCTACCTAAATGACTTGAAATTTCCATATAAGAATACTATTATACACAGAGGATACAACAACGTGTAAAATAATCTTCCCATTATGGTCAGAAAAAGCTTAGATTGACATTATCCTAGCAATACATTATTGGTAAAGTCAATGACGTTTAAATCATAACTAAAGTTCGTCATATGGCATACTCTTCCCTTTGCTTGTGTAACAGTATTTCATCTTTACATAGAGAGCTAGAAAACACTATCAAATCAGTTGTTACCTTGAGTCTTGACAATTTTATTACTCTCGTTTCTCACAAACCAATACTTGGAAAACAATACTCAACAGCCTATTAAGCAACAACTGCACTGCACTAGAGTTCCTTATTAAGGAAAGAACCAAGTAAATTTGACAACTCTGTCTCCTGCTACATGTTAAAATTTTAAATTGAATAAAAACATAGGAACATTACATATCACCAATCTGAAATAACAAGGAAATCAAACACATTACCGTTTCCAGGCTAGTGTTGAGCAGAAGGTGTAAACAAACTCTTAGAAATGAACTCGAGAACTTCAACACATACAACTATCAATTTGGATCGATCAAAGTTCTAAGAAACTGCCAGACCTGACCTCCATCTAAACAGCATACGCATAAGCAACTAAATATGCATCATGGCACAATGACATCAAGCTAATGAAACTGAGACATTAAAATAATACCAAAACAGAAAAATTCTGAAAGACGATCAAAATTCCCAAAATGCTTCACATATGAAATATCCATTAAGAAGAAGAAAGATAAAAGTTATCCAAAAGCATCATAGAATAGCATAACCGAAAATTCTCATCAAAGCTAGCAATAATTCATTATTAAATACTACCCTAACAAAACCAATTTTGTTCGCGAAATTCAAGAACTGGCCGACACAATTACAAGAGTACCTCAATAACGCCTGCCACCACCACCGCCACGGCCATAGTTCATAGCAGGCGCCACATTGACGGGTCCCTGGTCTTCCCTGAGCACGACGCCTGGAAGATCCTTCATGCCGAGAGTCTCTAACAAGTCAACAGTTTCCTGGTCAACCTCGATGCGATCAATCTTGATGGCGGATTCATCAGGCACAAAGTCCATACGGCGCTCGCGCTCCTCCTCCTGCAGCTTCAGGGAGATCCCACGTACAGGTCCCTTCTGGATTCTTTTCATCAGGTGAGTGGAGAAACCTGCAATCTTGTTGCGGAGGCGCTTGGAGGGGATGATAGCCACCTCCTCCAGGACCTTCTTGTTGGTGTGGAAGTCCAAAGTCATCTTGGAGTAGTAGCGCTCAATAACTTGACGGGAGGATTTCTTCACAGTCTTAGTGCGTACACGACCCATTTTTGGCTTTTGTTGGTGGTGACTGAAGGTGGCGGAAGTGGAGGAAGTTTCAGCAGGGGAGGTGGCTAGGGTTTGTGCAGCAAGTGCGTGTGTTTTGGGGAAGGGGAGTGGGTGGGTTGTGTATATATAGGTATGGGAAATTATACTTAGCTCCCTATAGGGTTTGTAATATCAAAATTGACCCCGAAATTTCTTTTCTTTTTTCATTGTAGTACATTGAAAAACAAAACAAAAATTATTTTTAAATTATGATCAAGGAATCGGTCTTATGCCGCAAAAAGCAAAAGATCATCCAAAAAATTTCCAAAATCCACCAAACCAGGAATGTTGAAGAACAAAATAAATTTATTGGTTTGTATCATGTATGTTTACAAATTCGCTTCATATTTATTTTTTCTTAATATCCGAACAATTTATTTCGTTAACTCACATAGTGATCGACATGCAATCTCATTGTTAAAGTCAGTAATGTTGCATTCTTTCCACAAGAAATGTTGTTTCGAATTCTTGGTCTAATTATTTTGGTAAAGAGACAATTAACGTTATCGGTCTCAAGAATTCGGTATACTAAATCAGATGATATGGATACTTATAATCTCAAGTGGTATGTGACACTTCAAATCATGTGAGATCAAGTTGAGAACATTAATTTACGGGATCCATGAAAATGGACTAGTTTTACTAATTTCTCAAAGGTTGAGAGTATAAACCAGACAAAAAAGTGGTTAAAGGTATATATTCTACTTTTCTTAAAAATTTGGGATGAATAGTGAAATTTACTCCACTTTTAATAAATCATTATTATTTAAGCCACAGTTTGTTTCTCATTTTTCATTCATAAAAACGAAAAATATGACTGTTATCCATCACATCAAGCCATCAATTTTGAATTTCTATCTCTTGTGTGGGGCCCAATAACAACTATATTTTTCATTCTCATTCTACAATAATGAGAATCAAACAGTGACTAAAATAGAAGAGAAATTTGCNTTGAATTTATATCTCTTGTGTGGGATCCAATAACGACTATATTTTTCATTCTCATTCTACAATAATGAGAATCAAACGAGCCATAAATGTAATTTTTATGAAAGATGAATAGGGCTTAATCTTTGAGAACGTGGATCAAGTATGAGCCTACTAGGCCTAGCCTGATCTCAACATTCTTGGTTAGAATGATGGTTCGCATAGCCCCGATTTGGTAGTGATTAAAATTAAAATTAAAATTAAAATCAATAATTAATTTTAATCATATATTCTATGGAATTCACAATTTTTCAACATTATATTTCATCAATTTTTATCAAAATCTACTAAAAACTGATTTTAATTCACACTTAACATAGACATTGTTTTTTTTTTCTAGGTATACATAACTCATAATATTTATATGGATTGTCTCTTTTCTATTCATCTCGATAAGATGAGAAATGGTGGTTATATTGACATCGTAATTATATTAATTGTAATATTTTTAATTGTATTACCTTATTGTACTTCATTTTTTTGTCACATCCTTATCTTTAAATTTAATCTTCTATCAATTAACATATCTTGTTGACAATCACCATTTTCCATCTAAATGTACGATTAGAGAGCATAAAAAAAAATTTACCCTTAATATTTTTAAATTAGAAAAAACAAAAAAGCGCGATACAATATTTGTCTATCATTTCAAAGAAAGCTAAGAAATTATTTAGATATAAATCATCATCAGAGATTAGATATGATAATAAATGACATATTGGATATAATAATGCGACAAAAATAATATGTGGATATAAGTGCAAAGAAATATTTAGTGCAATTAAAAAGTAATACAACTAAACAAATGTGAGTATGATATAACCACCCGAAAACTTAGAATTAAGCACAATTGACATTATTGGCTCCATTTACCAATTTTTCTATTCTATTACCTTATTTTGCTCCATTGCTGGGAAACAACATATATATATATATATATATTTTTTTTTTTATATATAAAAAACTATTATGAGAGTTTTCTTTGATTTGATTCAATTTTCGTTATTCAGTACTGGATCAACGATTATTGTGATCGCACTTTTGTGTTTTGCTTTCTTTCTCTGCATCAAATCTTTACGTAAACAAATATCTATATTTGTTGTATGGTCCGTATGGACAACGTCTATTTATGTTTTGACAATCTAATTATAAAGAACTCTACTACGTAATTATTATTATTCGACTCAATAATATTGGAAAATAAAATACTACAATGATATGGCCGGTAGGGAGGTTTGGATAACTTTAGATAGTAACATAGAATGAGAAGTTTAATCTTAGTGTTTTCTATAAAGAAAATTATGACACTAAACAGTAAACTGATTCAAGAATGTTGTTTGTTGATGCCTTCGCTCAGAGCAATACTCATAAGGCTGCAACCCCCATCAATAACTCGATTATGAACACTATTTGATCCTTACTGCTTGAAGTTCAATCCCTTCAACAACGGGGAAGTTTCACCTCTCTGCGGGTATTGGATTAGGATTAGATCGTACACCTGCATACAAGACTTTCATGGGCGACTACCCACTTTACTTTATTTATCGAGGAAGCTCGCTGTAGATCTATTCCTCTTCCTCTGCCTCAATAGGATCTGTGGCTCCCTCCACTTCTTTTGGTCCTTATGTGAAATTTTGGTAAAAAAATATTCATAGCTTGGTGTATGACCATAGAATCTGACGAGGTTGAGTTGTGTACAGATCTCGGCTCCTCTCCTGTCTATATGCATGTTACCTATACACAGGGACGGATCCAGGATTTTTCGTAGGGGGGGCTGGAAGTACTAAGCAAGGCTGAAGGCTCCACTCCCCCCCGGCGTCGAGATTATATATGAAATTCTAATCTCATCTCATAGATTATCGGGATATTCAAACATTTGCTTTCGTTTTCCCGGATCCCGTTCAATACTAGAAGTTGAGACGTATGAATGTTCAATTTCTAGAGATGAAATTGGAGGATGTTGCATAAGAGTTGGGACTGACAGATGTTCNCTGTCTTTTTAAAGAATGAAAATATCTTCTTCATTCTCTTTGACGAAGGTTGAGATTCAATTTGTATAGGCTGAAAATAATAGAAAGAATAAAAAAAATTGAGACTAAATTAAAGGCTCAAATACTTACGGATTTGAGCCTCCTCACCAAATTCCAATTTATTAGCATACTAATCAATAATCATACTATCCAAATTCCAATTAATTAGCATACTAAATAGATTGGAGCCTCCTCAGTCCTCACCACAGGTCCACAGCAGGCAGCAAGCCAACAACCAGCCAACCACTATAATTATATTTCTATAGATAATAGACTATAAACAGGTCCAAACTCACCCGTCACTATTTCTAATTTTCTATTGACCATTATAGTATCAATTCAACACAAAAGAGGCCAAAAAAAAAAAGGCAACCAACCAGCAAGGAAAAAACTTCAACTCACCTGGGATTGGGAACTGCCGAACTGTCGAAGTCCAGCCAGAAAAAATCAGGGACAGCCCACAGCCTATCCACTATAAATTCAACAAAAAAGAGATTAAGAGTCTAAGAGAGAAATCACAAAAATCAAAACAAAACCAACATTTCAATTTCCACTTCCACTTCCAGCAAGAAAAAAACCCCAGCAAGAAATAAAAACCCAGCAAGGCTGCAACAAAACAAAATACCAGCAACAAAAAAGGAACTGGTCTCTGCTCGTGCTCGGCGCGACGGCGCCTCAGCTGCTCCAGGTAAATAGGTAATGGAGATTTTGATTTTGAAAATTTGAATTGATTTGTGCGTGAGTCTTCGTGAATACTCTACAGGGAGTCGGGAGAGGGAGGGATCAGGGATGGGTTATGAATGTATTGGGTAGTTTGGGTTAGGTTTTAATTGGATTAATTTGGGTTGGGTTTTAATTGGATTGGATTGTAGTAATTGAATTTTGGTTAATGGGTGGGCTTATTAAAAAAAAAAAAAAGGAGTGGATTGGGCTAATTTTGTTTAACTGGGCTTGTCCCTAAAAAAAAAAATTTTTTTTGGGGGGGTGTAGCCCCCCCTAAATCCGTCCCTGCCTATACACTTGGACACCATGTTATACTACACGTGACCATAGCTCTGACAGGGGCACGAAAGTCTCAGCCACATCATTTGCCTCTAAGAATACTCCCTTTTAAATTTGCTACTTTAAACACAAATTCCTCGATTTGAAACACTTTCATCACCGGCAGCCACAGCAAAGGAGAAATGCAATTCATTCTCATTCTATGCTGCCCCAATTCGATGCACAGATTCTTCGTAAGCCCTACCACTGCACGCTTGGATGCTACATAAGCACGAAGAGCATTCTCACTAGTCCCAAAAGCCGCACTTGCAGTTCACACGATGCTCTTTTATGCATAGAATCATTACTCTTGCAGCGTGTTTTATGCATAGAATCGCGTCAAAATGTTAACATCCATACCCTCTTGAAATCTTGCTACTCAGTTGCTAAAATAGTTAGATCAGTCCTAATGTGGACACCAGCATTACCAAATATTATGTCGAGTCTACCCTACTTGGAAACAACATGTCTACGAAATTTTGGACGTCTGTGTCAGTAGTTACGTCGCAGTAGACATAGGAAATGACTTCTGGAGAACCTATGTTTTCACACACTGCCTGGCCAAATTCCTCTTGGACTTCAGCAATGCCTAGCAACTCTTTCCCTTATGCCACCAGTCCCCAGTTATTATAGCCAAGGTGCCTTCTAACCTGCAAAATCAAATAGGAACCTTAATTAAACTCAATTAGATTGGACGAATTTCAAGAATTAGTACATGCTCTGTTTGTCATTGATATAGCTGTTAAGAAATATATAGTTATTTTATTTTATTGTTTATTAAGTGTAGAATAGTATTTTCAGTTTCCTTTATTTAGCCTATATATAGTCTCTTTGTATCGATGTTAAATTATCTTTTTGTATTCGAGCCCCGATTTTTTTTATTTAGAAAATAGACGATTTCGAGAGGGTTTTCATTCAGTTTCTGCAATCTAGTATTTCGTTTTCCTTTCTTTTGAAATCTGGGTTTCCTTTTTTTTTTATTATGGCTACTGAAAGAGACGATTCACTTCAGTCTGTGAGTATGAGGTTGGATGGAAAGAATTATTCCTATTGGAGTTACGTGATGAGAAATTT